ATTTTTGAGTGCCAAATAAATTGTTCGTTTGCACTATACCGCCGAGCCTCCGTTTGGTGTCTGCATTTGAGTCCACTTGTGTCTGGCCGCCCGGTCGTGACAATCACAGATTGTGGAAACAAGCCTTAATGAGAACTACAAGTACAGTTATTTCATTCATTGTCTGCTGAGGTCACCCCTTACAGTTAGAGCCACTTCGTGCTTCAGCATGGATGTGTCAGGTGTCATTTAGTTTGAACTATTGTCCTAGATTGAAGGAACTTCATGAACTAAAAGAAATGACAGGATACAATACTAACTGGATACTATAGCTCCTCTGAAAAGAAAGCCTCAAATCAGAAATATTTGACTTTTTGCACCTTAAAACAGATAACTGGTGTCCTTGAGAAGAAATGGCGCCTAACTAATTTAGAAGATCATCATTATTGTTGCACATAGTATAGAGGAAAAAATAGTTCCTCTATTTAAAAAAAAAAAAAAAAAAAAAAAAAAAAGCCCTCTGTGATGCTATATAAAGAAATAAGAACAAGTTGTTATTCAGCACGGTAGCCATGGGTTTTTTTTTATTTTTTTTATAGCTCTAAGCCAAGGATTCCTTCAGTAATTACTTCCTCTTTTAGACCCCATTCCTACAAGACTGCTCAAAGAAGTCCTGCCATTAATTAATGCTTCAATCTAAAATCTGATCATTCTATCTCTATTGATAGGCTACGTAACACGGGAGTTTCAGTCAGGTTTCAGAGCTCATCACAGCACAGAAACAGCTTTAGTCTTCTTATGGCCTCTGACAGTGGACTCATTGGCGTTTGTTACTTTTGACTATTTTATTACAGCAATTAGAGCACGCTGTAGATATTAAACATACTGTGCTGTATTGGTCTAACAGACTCCAATTTGTTCATGTAAATGGAGAGTCCTCTTCACACACTGAGGTTAATTTTGGAGTTCCACAGGGCTTTGTGCTAGGGCCAGTTCTGTTTGCATTATACACGCTTCCCTTAGGCAGTGTCATTAAAAGCCACTGCTATGCAGATGACACCAATCTTTATTTATCCATGAAGCCACATAACACATACATATATTTACACCACAGGAGTGTCTTAAAGTCAGAAACACTTGGATGACCTCTAATTTTCTGCTTCTGAATTGAGATAATCCTTAAAAATCTTAGAAATATGGTATCTAACCAGA